GACAGATCAAGTCAAGTCAGGATAAAATCTTTGTTGATTTTGTTAATATCGGTAACTTTTATGAAAATACCTATAGGCTTAAATAACCTTTGTTAGATTTTCATTCTTGTGAAAAATTAACAAATATTTGAGTGTCTGCTGTATTTTTCTATTAATGATATTTTTATATAGTATCATTCTCTTGATGTGTGTGAAATTCAGAAACAGGCCAAACTACACAATGTCCTAATTAGGGGTATAAGGCGAGAGACCACAGGCTTGAATTCTAAGGTGAGAAGAGTAGTTTATAACAGAAAATGTTCCAAATCTTCTCAAACCTCTACGTCCCGTGGGTGCTGCATTTTAGTGATAATGATTGTACTTTAGAGATTAACGTGATGATCACTGCTGATACCAGATTCAGGAGGTGTTCAGCATGCTTTTTGGGGCTCTAGAATCTGCTCTGGAATTTATTATCTGCTACACAAGTAGCTGTCAGCAAGTGATACTAACACCATATCATGGAGGACAAAGATTACCTTCAAAAAATAAAATAGAGCCTAAGTGCCAACTCCCAACAAAGCTTGAGGGGATCTCCTTTTATTCTGAGATACACTTGCCTCTCTGCTGGTGTCCTTTTCCGCTGGAGCTGTTGACCCATTTATGTTACTCAGTTTGCAAAGAATAAATTGTTTTATTTCTGATGCGTACTCTTTTTGCCTTATATAGGAAACCACTAATTGCTTGTGTGGAAAAACAGCTATTAGGAGAACATTTAACAGCAATTCTGCAGAAAGGTAAGTTTCCTAACTCTTGTGTGACGTAAACTGAATGATTGTTGTTTTTATGAGGTGCCGTCGAGTCAGTTCCAACACACAGCGACCCCATGTACTACAGAACGAAACACTGCCCAGTACCGCGCCTTCCTCACAGTCGTCGTTGTGCTTGAGCCCATTGTTGCAGCCGCTGTGTCAGTCCATCCCATTGAGAGTCTTCCTCTTTTTCTGTGACCCTCTACTTGACCAAGCACGATGTCCTTCTCCAGGAACTGGTCCCTCCTGATAACGTGTCCAGAGTGTCTGAGAGGTAGTCTGGCCATCCTTGCTTTTAAGGAGCATTCTGGTTGTACTTCTTCCAAGACAGATTTGTTCTGAATGATAGTCCTTAAATTATTAAGAAATGAAGTGAAACATTATAAATAGCAATATAAGGGCATTTGTTATTTTAATAAGACAATTAATAAAAATCTTTTCTAATAAACTAGTAGTCTTTGAGGGGAAAAAAAACCTTAAGGGTTTTAGTAAGAAAAATAGTGAAATGTGTCTGATAGAACTACAATTTACTGCTAAAGTCACGATAAATACTGTCTGAGCCGAAAGGTCCGAAGAGGTCCTCTAGACTGTAAACATACTTTGAAATGTGGATGCCAGGCTAAAGGGCCTTATGCTGCCTTTCTTGTACAAACGGCTTTTCAGCTTGAATGCTTACAGTAATGCTTGTTTTCCTTTATTGTATCATTTCTCATGTAAACTCTGATCAAAGAGCTTTTGCTGCTATAAATATGCATAGTTATTCAGAGCCATCACATTTCCATGAGAATTTATTCAGCTGTGTTAAATGATGTAATATCGTTTGTGAAGCTAGTATTGGATGAGTTACCAAATATGTGGCCTTATTAAGCCAGAGTCTACTTTTCTATCCCGATTGTTTTTTAAAAACAAGCAAACAGGAAAAAAAGGGCATAATATTGACACTTGTACAGTTTTAACTTACACTTTATGTTCACTGATGGTGATACTAAAGTTTTGTTAAAGGCGTTCAAGCGCTGGTGCTTTGGAAGACCACTGAGACTCCTTCTTGTATCCTGTCCTTTTAAAGTTAATAGTGATACGTTCAACTCAGTCTATATCCTTTTTTTATTCCTAGCCTTCAAAAGGCACTTAATTCTCTGAAAAATTATAATGAGCACAGCCTTAACCTTTTGTAACACTTATACTGCTTAATTGGACTGCTTATAGCTCTTACCATTTGAAAGTCGTTCTAAATGTCTTTGGAAACTGCAGGATCTCCTTTAGGCGTAGTTTTGGGAGGGCCTTAAATAGTACCCGGATATATTCTGGTTTGGGTTCTACTTTGCCAGGTAATAGTATTATCTCTAATGGATTATTTAAAATGGGGACCTGTAAGGGGGACCTCTAAGTGAGACCAGAAACAAGCCAGAAGGGAAGAGAATTAGAATTAGCATTATTGAGCATCTGCTGTTATAAACTACTGTACTTCATGTTAATATTTTTTAATCTTAGAACAGTCCTGTGATTCATTATCCCCGTTGTAGAAATAAGAAAACGAAGGCTCAAGAAAGCTTGATACTAGTGCCCCAAATCACACAGCTTGTAAGTTGCAGAGCTGCGATCCAAATCTGGATATATTTTTTGTTATACCACACTGAAACTTATACAAGTGATGTATTTTCACACAAGTGAGGCCTTAATTTACACACCAGCATAAAAATAAACATGTTTAGAATTTTTATCGGGTGTTTTTAAAAAATGAGTCACTTTACAAGAAAAAAGATTTCCAGAAAATTGTGGAAATTTGCATAAAATATCTCAGCACATACTATGATAAGCAAAATTGTTTCAAGAAAACAGTAAATGGTACGTGTAAAAGGCCTACTCTAAATTGTGTCAGAAGTATTTAAAAAGTAAAAAGCTAACATTTTAGAATTTTTTAAGAAGACATTATTCAGGGTTTCAGTAAGAAATTATAAAATTGTTTGATATTTTGCAATAATATCTTTAAAGTTATTTACATCAGTAGATAGATGAAAATGTAATTTAGAGAAATAACTGACATTTGGAGGTCTTGCTAAGGATTCATAATTATAACACGACCATGCATTTTAAAACTACCTGTATTCGTTGCTAGAGCTGCCGTAACAAACCACAATAAACTGAATGCCTTAAAACAACAGAAATTTACTCTTCCACGTTTCCGGAGGCCAGAAGTTGAAATCAAGGTGTTGTCAGGGTTAGTTCGTGGAGGCCCTGAGGGAGAAACCAGCCCATGCCTCTCCTGGCTTCTCGTGGTCCCAGCAGTCCGTGGTGTTCACATGGCATCTTCTCTGTGTGTCTCTGTGGTGCCCGTCGTTTCTCATAAGAACACTAGTCATTGCATGTAGGGTCTGCCTGAGTCCACTGTGACCTCGTCCTAACTGATTCCATCTGTAAGGACCCTATTTCCAAAGAAGGGTCATATTCTGAGGTTCCAAGTAGACATAAACTTTTGGGGAACACTGTTTAACACACTGCACCACCTTAAATGTGTAGACATTATGCCCATTTTACAGAAGAGCCTGAAACTCTATAAAGTAACATGACTCTACATTCTTAGAATAAAGCAAATATTTAGAAAATCTATAAAAGCTCTTCTGATTGAAGTATGGTTTTATGAAATCCTTGTAAAATTTAAATACCTAAACAGTAAAAACTTTAAAAATGCTGTACTGAATACTTTAAAATATCTGTTAAACAATAAATATTTTTCTCCTGGTTTATTTTATGTGTGAATAAAATTAATCAGCTAAAAAAAATAGATTTGATAGCTTGTTCTTTGACGGGTGAGTGTCATGATTGATGAACTAAATCAGTTCTTAACCTAGGACTCATGGAATGCCCCCCCCCAGGTTACATAATCATACGAGCATTTTTCAGACTATTAATTCTTGCTTTAGCGAAACAAGAGGGCTTTTAGTGACATGAAAAAGTAAAAACGTCTCCCCACAAGCTCAGGAGATGAGGTTCACCTAATAGAATCTATCTCAAGGTATTGAACTAGACCAACTTGCCTGTATAGAAATAAACGAAGTATTGTGCATACTCCCTAAATTTCTAACTTACATATTAACCCTTTTTTGGGAGCATATTCTAGTTTCATTTTTATTAATGTTGATTTACCGATGTAATTTGTTCACGTTTACTATAATTTCAGGGCTTGATCACTTACTTGACGAGAACAGAGTACCTGATCTCACACAGATGTACCAGCTGTTCAGTCGGGTGAAAGGGGGTCAGCAGATACTGCTGCAGCACTGGAGCGAATACATCAAGGTATTTCAGATTCTCTGTCTTCAAGATGATTCTACGTGTACTTCATACAAGGGGAATGGGCATCTGTCTTCAAAATACGTTGGTACCCTGGCAAAGGAACTGAACTATTTTGAAGTACCTTTTGTTCTTTGATCACAGATGGTAAAGAGGACAATAGTCTTCCTTTTTCTTCCATATCACCTCTTTAAATATTTAAGTTTATTTTTTTAAGATAACACCAACAGTGATCAATAGCATCCTGATATATGTCTTAAAGAACTACTGTTTGGCCATTTGTCATCAGCGTAAATACTAGTTTAATTCTGCAATAATGGTTTTCAGAAACTAGTAGTTTTTTCAGATCTGTTTTTAAACATAAGATCTTCTCATGTTTTTGCTAAGTGAGAACTCATAGACATTTTGGTATATTAGGTTGGTCTGTATGCCGCTATATTTCCTAGCAATGCAAATATAGGGTATGTTATTTAAGCTTCAGTTTTCATGTTTTAAAGCGTTTTTTTTCTACATACCTAGAATGCCCAGTTCAGCTCAACTACAGAGGCTTCTCGGGTATAATCTTTCAGTCATTAGAAGAAGTATTATCATTTTATAAATCTTTGACATTGGAATTTAAGGTGCTTTTTACCAGTTCACTGATAGGTTTTCTTCAAAATATGCCTGGCATATCTCTTGAATGGAGCCCGGGTGGCCTGGTGGTTAAGACCTCGGCTACTAACCAAAAGGTCGGCACTTGAAATCCATCAGCCGCTCCTTGGAAACCCTATGGGGCAGTTCTACCCTGTCCTGTGGGGTCAATATGAGTCGGAATCGACTCAATGGCAGTGGGTTTTTTTGGTTTTGTTTTGTTTTTTTGGTGCTAATACAGGATCTTACTGATGACCAGTGAGTCCCAACTAGAAGCACTTTTCAGCCACCACCACCCCTGATGGGACATTTGGCAATGTCTGCAGATATTTTTGGTTGTCACAACTGAGGGAGCTACTGGCATTAGTGGGTGGGAGCCAGGGATACTGCTGCAATGCACAGGACAGCACCCGGCAACAAAGAATTACCTGGCCCAAAATGTCAATAGTGCCAAGATTGAGAAACTCTGCTGATGATCCTATTTTGCCATTTAATGATAAGTCATTCTGTAGATAATGCTGATGAAAACGGGAAGAGTTACACTTTAAATCATCACTTTATAGATAGCTAGTGTGTTCAGTATGTCTCAGTTACCTAGGAAAAGATTTTCACTTTAAATGATAACCATCTAACAAAAACCTTCGTGTTTCGCTTGCTGGTGACTGTATTCTTAGAGCCGAGAGTAAAGAGGAGGAGCCCTGGTGGCATAATGGTTAAACCGCTCCGCTGCTAACCAGCAGCTCTCCCATACAGATTACAGCCTAGGAAACCCTGTAGGGCAGTTCTCCTCTGTCCTATAGGGTCCCTATGAGTCGGAATCAGCTTGACGGCACACAACAACAACAGAGTAAAGAGAGAAACAAAACCTCCAGGAAATTATGCCGAGCAGAGAAAAGCCAGTCCCAAAAGGTTACATGCTGTATTATTCCATTTACATAACATGTTTGAAATGACAAAATTTAGAAATGGAGGACAGATTAATAGTTACCCGGGGTTAGGGATAGGTGAAGGGAGGAGAGGTAGGTGTGGCTATAAAAAGGACACAAGCGGGATCCTTGTGGTGTTGGAACTATTCAGTACCTGGACCTTGATGGTGGGTACATGAACCTACACAGGTCATAAAATTGCATAGAACTTAATATACACACAAATGAGCACAAATAAAACCGGGGAAATCTGCGTAAGATCAGTAAATAGTATCGGTGTCAATATCCTGCGTATGGTATTGTACTGTAGTTTTGCAAACTGTCACCATTGGGGGAAGGAAATTGGGCAAAGAGTACAAGGGACCTTTCTGTATTGTTTCTTACAACTGTATATGAATCTATAATTATTTCAGTAAGAATTAGAATTAAATAAAAAAGATAAACAAAAGGGTGCATGTTGCTTTATGGAATAATCAGCCTGAAGTCTGTATGTGGAAAGCCTGTGTGTGCACACCCCCAAGATTTTGTACAGTCATATTGAAAGTCATAACTGCGTTATGCCATATCAGCAATAAAGCTTTAAAGAAAAGCTAACGAAGATTTATAAGTTTTCTTGCCATTGAGGTATTCTCTTTAGGGAGATGAACAGGTGCTGAACTCAAGGAGAAGTTCACCTTTGCAGTTTTAAATCTTTGTAGCAAAAATCAGAGGTGGTTTGTGGCCCTCACGCCTTTGTATCAACTGTAAGCAGTTGTGCTGTGATAAAATCGAAAACTGCATTCAACACAGCATGTCGGCAAAATAAAGCTGGTCCTTCTCATTAGAAAACAGCCTGGGAAGCTGATCGGTGAGCGTGACGTTAACTCGTTAAGGCAAGAATTGTATGTTTTATTTCAGGTAACACACGTGTACTATCAAAAATACAGTCAGCACAAAGTGTATAGAATAAGAAGTAAATTCCTCCCACCTCTGCAGGTCATACGGTTTCCCTCCCCAGTGGGTATTTATACCAGTTTCATTTGTATCTTTTTACCAGTAATCAGCCTACATATACATACGTGATGTGTAAGTACACGTGTATATTCCATTAAGACTGGTTTTTCCAAAATATGTGTCTGATAATAGTTGTATTCAACACTTCTTCACTTTGTAGTTTACATCGTCAGGTAACTACTGTTGCCACACATACACTGTTAGTAATGTTTAATATAACGTTTATGAATAAAAAATAGAGGGTAAAAGCTGGGGCTGTTCGTGATTATAAGTGAAGGAGAAGGAACACTTTAGTCAGGAAGTTCAAATAGGTGCAAGGTAGGCCCCTTGTCAGTATGTGTCAAACCAGAAGCAGCTGTTTCAGGGCTAATAAGCATGACCTAGTTCAGTGTTTACGGAAGAATAGCCTGTAAAACACCACTGCAGTAGGATGGCCTGTCATAGTCACATACACCATACCTTCCCCCCAAGATTCACAGTGCACATTCAGAAGTAAAGCTCTTCCTACAGTTAAAAATATGCGTACCTTTTTTCATTCCCAATATTTTTTGAAATGTACTTGACCGCTGAACTCCTCTGTCATAGCACACTCATTAATTTCTGTTAGGGGAATTTATAAGTAAAAGTTCTTAAAAAGCAATGGATGTTTTCCCAGTAACTTATAAATTCTTCCAGAAACAGCATTGTAACACTAAAGCATTAATTATATATTCACTTAACAGTTTTTTAAATGTGAACTAAATTTGTGAAACTGTTTTAAAATTAGTTAGCATTTAATACCAAGAATAGTTTATATTAAACTATTATGATTGTTTGATAGCAGGAGAAATAATTTTTGGTATCGTAAATTTGTTGACAACTTGGTATTTATTTGTTTTTATAGACTTTTGGAACAACAATAGTTATCAATCCTGAAAAAGATAAAGATATGGTACAAGACCTGCTAGATTTTAAGGATAAAGTGGACCACATCATAGAAGTGTGCTTTCAGAAAAATGAAAAATTTATCAACTTGATGAAGGAATCCTTTGAAACGTTTATCAACAAGCGACCAAATAAGCCTGCAGAATTGATTGGTAGAAAAAAATACTTCTATAATTTTTTTTTAAATGTTGGAAAAAAAGGCAGAACTCAAGCAAAATGTTCAAGGTCTTCATGGGAAGGGAGAGGGAAGAACTTAGATCAAGCCTTGTTAGGATACACATTTTCAAAGAAAACTATACAAACACGTGTCTTTATAAATACAAACACGAGGTGCTTCCACAGGGGTGAATGTAGTAGTAATCTTGTAAAGAAATGAAATTTGACTTCACAAAAGAAGGTGCAATGAAGGTTTATTCTCCTTACGTGTACTTTGTCCCTTAGAGAATGTGAATTTGCCTTTACTGGACTAGCAGCTTCAGAGCTGTGTTTTGTAAAGATCAACTATAATTCTCCATCTTGATTATAAGCAGTTAATTTCTATGCAGAAATTGGATTGAGAAGGTTTATTATATGTGAACGCCTCTGGGTTATGAGGATAACTGTCAGTCTCTAGATAACGTTTAAAATGAGATACTTCTTAATCACCATCTTTGTATCTTCTGATTAGTGTTAAAAGAGGATATAATTGAATGAGATCTCAAAGGTAGCAATTTTTAAAATTCAACAGAAAATGCCTTTTAACTCCCTGAGGGTAAGAAGGGGATCCATTAGATCCATTAGAAAATATTATGATGAAACAGGTTTTAAATTATTACTTAATACAGTTATTTCATGATAATATCAAAATATATGTCAAGATTCATAGAATTTCACTAGTCAAATATTTTACAAATTTATAGGAGAGTAAGGGCAATGAGGAGGCTTAAGTGATAGAAGGTTGGACATATATTGATTATTGTTGAAGGTGTACAGTGGGACCGTGGACTTCATCAGACATATGTCTATTTTTGTATATGTTCAGAATTTTCCATAGTAAAAAATTTTAAAAGAAAAATAATAGCAACAATGAAAGAAATTCAGATTCACAAGGCAATTTAATTTCACTTTTGCACCACTTTTTTGACTGTGGTTTCTCTAAAAGAAGTCTAATGTTTAGCTCTTGGGAATCTGGGCTTCTGGAAGTCTTGGGAACTGTAAATATATAGAGACTTTCATCTTCTCTTCCTTAAGCCACTCCTCATAGTTGATCTGTGTAGTCTGAGCTACAAGAAGCTGTAAGTAAAATCACTGTCACTCTGTACTCAGGGATGAGACAGTGTCACCTCGAGTTTGACCACTCGAAGCCCTGAGAAAATTCTTTGTCTTTGAGAAAAGCTGGTCTGAGTTTAGTATAGCACATCTAGAAGATAGGGCATTCCAGAATCAGGAGCAATGGTGTAACATGTAATTACTTAATAAGGTAATTGTTCTTATTTTATATAACTTAAAATTTTTTAAAGGCTATTTTACCTGGAAAAACAAATGCACCTGCTTAAAATAAACCATGATGTCTTTTTAAAGTTCCCTGTCCTTGACCATGCCTTCCAGTTTGCTGGTAAAAGCAGCACCACACTTCTTAGATCAGTTATCTTCTTACTCTGAAATTTAGAAAAGATAACTTAAGCTGACTTAAAAAATCAAGTTTTGGGCTATGTTAAAGTTTTAGAAAGTATTCTCACGTGATTTAAAAGTAGCTGTATTAGAAAATTAGACACTTGCCTTTTCTGTCATAAAATAATATCATTTTGGATAAGTTCCAGAATGCTACTGATCAGTTTGTGCTTGTAGAAAGTAAGGATGTTCTTTTTTCTAATTTAGAAAATGTATAATGGCAGCTTCTCTTTGAAATAATCTAAACTCTTAATCTCCCAGCAAAGCATGTTGATTCGAAGTTAAGAGCGGGCAATAAAGAAGCAACAGACGAAGAACTAGAGAGAATCCTTGACAAAATTATGATAATATTCAGGTTTATTCACGGTAAGAAATAAATTATTTTACTAAAATTAGATACTTAGAAAATACTATAAAATCAAAATGTCTATATTTGGGCCCATTTTTTCATGAGTAAATTGACAGAAACATTTTCCATTTTCATGTAATACAGAAAACAGAGTGATAGAGCCACTGATTGAATTGAAAGTATTCTTTTGTGGAAATTTAACACAAGAATTTCAGTACCATTACAGGTGATTTGCATTAAAATGAGCACTTTTTAGGGTTTTTCAGCAGTTGAAGTATAACATTTGTACATTAACTGTCTAATATCTTACACTATTGTCATTTGGTTGTAAATAGGTAAAGATGTCTTTGAAGCATTTTATAAAAAAGATTTGGCAAAGAGACTCCTTGTTGGGAAAAGTGCCTCAGTGGATGCCGAAAAATCTATGTTGTCAAAACTGAAACACGGTAAGCGTGTGTAAACCCAGGACTTTTTTTCCCTACCTTTAGAGAATTTACTGCAGTGATCCATGTTGCTTCTGGTCCATTTTAAACAACACCTTTCTGTTTGTAACAGAGTGTGGTGCTGCTTTTACCAGCAAGCTGGAAGGCATGTTTAAGGACATGGAACTTTCAAAGGACATCATGGTTCATTTTAAGCAGGTGAATTTTTTTTTTTTTTTTTATTTAAAGTAAAACAACTTTGTAAAAATTTTAAATCATGTAAAATAAGAAAATCCTCATCCTTAAAAATTACCCTGTTAATGTTTTACATATTCAAATAACATAAATTTAAAAGGAAAAAGAAAAGGAACCCCTAAAAAACCTTGATTTAATTGAGTCTAAAATTACATTACATTGATGACATACTAAAAGAAGAAAAAAGATTTCAAGTGACTTTAGAACACATTATTTGGCTGTATATCTTCAGTGGAATATATTCTAAAGACTAAAATTAATGCAAACAAATGTTAAACTTTTTTAAATTGCACCTTTTTTTTTTAATAAATTAATTATTTATCTTGGATTTCTCTATTTGTTTTTAGTATATGCAGAATCAGAGTGATCCGGGCTCTATAGATCTGACAGTAAATATACTAACAATGGGATACTGGCCAACATACACACCTATGGAAGTACACTTAACTCCAGAAGTAAGTGTGTTAAAGAAAATGCTGTTGTTTGTTTAGACTGTTGCTATTGTTACACCTGTGCCATGCACAGACATGCTCTCTCTCAAGAAGTATGTAATGAGAGTATTTTTAAGTCACACTCAAAAAATCAAAATATTCTTGATGAAGTGTCTGGAAAGCGGCATTTCAGAGTGACCACCCTCTGCGTAAACTTCTATCACAATCTTTCTGTGGCTGCTTTTGACTTAGTCTGATTTAACTTGCTGACTGTTAGTGATGTCGTTAGACTCAACACATCAACACAGGCATCTTATTTTAAAAGTTATTTGCTTGTAGAGTTTGCGTTTTACATGTCTGAATGTTATTTCCTTCCAGTATAGACAATGCTAAATACAGTCTTATGAATGACATTGTTTAGGACCTTATATGCCAGCCATGACTGTAGGTACTATGGGGAATTCACAGATAAGAGATAGAATCCTATGTTCAGTGAAATTCCGCAGCAGAAACAGGCATGTGCACCAATAGTTATAACACTAAGTATGAAAAGGGCTTCAACAGAAGGACAAGTGAGTTAAAAGGATTGATTCTAATTTGGAATCAGGGAAGATTTCCTGGAGAAAGTGACACGTACGCCTGGCCTGAAAGATGAGTGATATTTTCATAGGCACTAAAGGGATTAGGACCTTCTAGCTAAGGGGACAGAAAGAGCAAAGAAAGGCATGAGGTGTGGAAATTCAGAGCCTGAATTTCCTGTCGGGCATTTGACATTGACTGTTTCCCTTTGTCTTGAAACTGTTTGTTCAGCGTGTAAAACAATACTTGTTCCTGACTTTCTTCTGTTTCTGAACCCACTGGTCAGTTGCCTTTGTAGGTTTCTTCTCCTTTCTTGACCTGTAAATGTTGAAGTTCTCCGAATTCCCTCCTCAGCGTGCTTGTCATCCCTCACACTCAACCTCTGTGAACTCTGCCCATACCAGCTGCTGAGCTTCCAGCCTATATGTACAGTTGCCAGCTTGAATATTCTCAGACATCCCACACTCAAGACATCCAAATTTACACTCTTCACCCTTCCCTTCTTCCTTAAATCTTTGTGTCCTGTGGAAATGGCACTACCATTCTAGCTAATTTTTCCAAGGCAGAAGCAAGGGAGTTGGGTTCCTCTTCCCTCTTCACCTGCCCACCATTTTCTCTCCCATCTTACCTCTCTCCTCTCTTCTTTATCCTGATTGGCGCTGTCCTAACTCAGTCCCTTCTTGTTGCTAACTTTTTTACTTCACCTTAAATGTCGCTTTTCTGCTTAAAATTCTTGAATCCCCCCCCCCCCCCCCCCCCCCCCACATTTTTAGAAAAAAATCAACTCCTCTACTAGACATAACAGGCTCTTAGGGTCCAGACTTGCCTACTGCTGGCCGCTCACCAGCGTGTATTTTATGCTCCAGCTATACTAAACTACTTGGCAGTTCCCAGATCAATTCATTTCTCCCAGGCCTCCATTTCTTCCCTCTAAATGGAACAGTTTGACAGGACATGAAGTAAACAGGAAAATGTTTGTATTTTCAAATCAGTAATCAGAGTTGTGAGAACTAAGTGAGGTAATACATCTAAAATGCCTGAAATGGTAGTTAGCACACAGTAAGCACTCAAATGTTAGCTGCTATTACCATTGTTGTTATTATTCCCACTGCTAGGAATTAATCCCAATGAAATGATTTGTAGGAACAAAAGAAGGTATGCTTTAAGAGGCTTCTCACAGTATTGATTTTCTTTTTAGAGAGTATGTTTTATGAAATAGTCCTTATCTTCTAGAGCTATATACTGCAGTATTTAAAAATGAAAGAATGCCTGGATTCGATGTCATCAAAGATAGATAATGGGTACATTGGGGGGATTATACTATTTTTTTCTGCCTGCTTCGGAATATGTTTGGAAAATTCCATATCTAAAATTTCTAGAAGCAAGATACTTGTTGCAGCATTAAGAAAACCCATTGCCATCGAGTCAATTCTGACTCATAGCAACTCTACAGGACAGAATAGAACTACCCCGTAGGGTTTCTAAGGGTGTAATCTTCACAGAAGCAGACTGCCACATCTTTCTCCCCCGAACGGCTGGTGGGTTCAAACTGCCGACCTTTGAGTTAGCAGCCGAGCACTTAAACCACTGTGCTGCCAGGGCTTCTTTGCAGTGGAATACCCTGATACACATACTTACTTAACAGGCAATTTCAGTTGTATTACTCAACACAGCTATGAAATGGAATGATAAGGTATCTTAAGATCAACTCTATAATTTAGGAAAGCAGTTCTATTGATTGTTGTTGTCAGGTGCTGTTGAGTCAGTTCTGACTCATAGCGACCCTATGTACAACAGAACCAAACCCTGCCCGGTCCTGGGCCATCCTCACAGTCGTTGTTATGCTTGAGCCCATTGTTCGTAGCCACTGTGTCAGTCCATCTCATTGAGGGGCATCCTCTTTTTCACTGACCCTCTACTTTACCAAGCATGATGTCCTTCTCCAGGGCCTGATCCTCCTAATAACATGTCCAGAGTATGTGAGACACAGTCTCTCCATCCTTGCTTCTAAGGAGCATTCTAGTTATACTTTTTCCAAGACAGATTTGTTCATTCTTCTGGCAGTCCATGGTATATTCAGTGTTCTTCACCAACACCACAATTCAAAGGCATCAATTCTTCTTCGGTCTTCCTTATTCATCATCCAGCTTTTGCATGCACATGAGGTGTTTGAAAACATCTTTGCTTTTCAACACTTTAAAGAGATCTTTTGCAGCAGATTTGCCCAATGCAATGTGTCTTTTGATTTCTCTGACTGCTGCTTCCGTGAGTGTTGATTATGGATCCAAGGAAAATGAAACCCTTGACAACTTCAATCTTTTCTCCTTTTATCATGATTTTGCTTATTGGTCCAGTTGTGAGGATTTTTGTTTTCTTTATGTTGAGGTGTAATCCATACTGAAGGCTGTGATCTTCATCAGTAAGTGCTTCAAGTCCTCTTCACTTTCAGCAAGCAAGGTTATGTCATGTATTGAAAATAAGAAGATACCAGTTAAGAGACAATTGTAGTGTAGATAAGAGAGAAATTCTAGCAGAGAAAATGTGAAAGAAAGTATGGAATTGAAAACCATGTATTAGCTAAAATTAGTATAACTTAATTTTTGGAAGAAGGAGAATGAGAATTTCATTAAGTGCCTCTTGAAGTGATTCCTTCATGCTGAGTTCTGCTCTAGACTCCTGAGTGTGCGAGATGAATAAGAGGGAGACCCTGGTCGGTAGGAGCCCAGTGTCTGGGGAATATGGCCCCTGTGTACAAGAGCGGTAGACTATACGTGCTGTCATGGAGAGAGGTACAAGTGTAAATGGATAAAAGTGTCTTAATTATTCTCAGTCAGCATATGTCAGAAAAGGTTTCATAGAAATGTGATTGTTGAGCTGAGTTTTGAAGGATGAAGAGGAGCTTTCCAGGCAGACATGAAGTTGACAGGCATTTCTGACAGAGAACAGCTTGCACGAAAGGACAGAGGCATTAAAAGAGCTTATTGGGTCCAGAGAACAGGTGTTTATTCACCACCAAATACTTATTCAACACCTGCTATGTGCCATGCAGAAATTATATAACAATGAAAAAACCAGACGAGGTTTTGAGCTTAATGTCCAAAGTAGATAATAACAAATTGTAATAAATTCTGTGAAGGATGAGAACGGTCCGAGAGGCATCTCTGAGAAAGCAGTTGTGAAAAAGGAGCTGGAATTGTTAGGGAGGTGGGTTACTAAGTCAGGTGGAGGGAATACTGTGTGAACACTTGAGGTGAGACGAGAAGGTGCCTTCAGTGAAATGAAAGAAGACTAGAATACAGAGAGCTGGGGAGGCGTGGGGCAGGGGGGCAAGACAGGCCAGTGAGGTCAGAGATCCCAGAAGGAAACGGGCCTTGTTAAGCCATGTTAAGACTTTTGGGAAGCCATCCAGAGACATGAAGAAAGGAATGATGTGATTGCCCAAGGAGAGTGTATAGGGTAAGAAGAGTAAAGGGATGAATACAGAACCCCTGGAGAGTGCCAGCATCTGTGGATGCATGGGGAGACCAAAAAGACTAAGGAATAAAGAGATGGGGAAGTCCAAGAGGTGAGTGTCACAGACGCCAGGAAGGAAGGACGACTCAGTCAGCTGTTTGAAAAGCTACTGAGTGATCTAGCTAGATGAAAATTGATGAGAGTCCATTAAATTTGGCAACACAGAAGTCATTGGTGACCTCTGATGCAGAGGTTTGGATGCAGATAGAAACCAAATATGAATGGAGTGAAAAGTGAAGGAAATATGGAAGAAACTAAAAAATACATATACTGGTAAAAGGAAGTTAGAGAAAACAAAATGCAAAACAAATTACACAAAAGGCTGTATCACAGAGAGACGATCTTTAATCCCTAAAATAAGCACAGCAATAAAAAAAAAAAAAAAATCAGTAGAAAGTTTGGAAGATACGAGAAAATCTCCCAGAAAGTAATAATAAAAATAATTCCTAGCACATGTAGTCATTTTCTATGTCAAGCACTAGCCTAGCTGCTTTATGTCCCAACAGTGCTGTGAAGTACCCATTATACAGATAAGGAGACGGACGCCCAGAAAAGTTAAATAACTTGCCCAAGGTCACAAGCAGAATGGAATTTGGACCCGGGCAGTCTGGATTCCAGATCTACACTCCTAACTATTACACTGTCCTGCCCCAAGGGGAACACAAAGACAAAGAAAATAGGAGGAGGGAAAAACAATAAGAATTGACAGTTTAAGTGATCCAGTAACATAAAATGAATAGATAACCGAGAAATAAAGAATAGGAAGAAAAAAATTGGTAGGGGATATTCAAAGAAATAACACAAAAATAATCCCAGTTTTCAGATTTAAGTGAAAAAAGTCTGACAACAGGGCATATTATCGACTTTCAAAACCTTGAAGATGAGATTCCAGAGAGTTGGGGGTGGGGGAGACATCAGCTGCAGATGGCGGCACTTAGACTGGTGTCTGGAAGCTACAACAGTGCAGCACCTCAGAGTCGTATTAGAGCAATCTCAGGAGGCGGGCTTGGAAAACGCCAGTCCTGATGGAGAGAATGCGTAAACCTGAAAAACAAAACAAGCTTGTTAGTTAGAGATTTGGAGATAAGACCGGAAGAAACCGCTGAAAGAACCGGAAGTAGGTTGTCTCTTGAGAGTGAGACCGGGGTGGGGGG